TCTCTCTCTCTCTGTCAACCGCAAATTAGACTTTACTTGATACTCGCGATCGCTTCTTTTCTTTCCATCTTCTTGTGTATGTGCTTTATACGTTTTCCAGATTGTCAGCGATAAAAGCTTTACTAAGCGACTCCTTTTTCGGCCAGGCAGTGTTAATCATGAAAAAGGTAGAGAACCTTCGTTCTAACAAGTTTCATTTTATTTTTTATTTTGTCAGCATTACAAACTTGATGCGGACAAAGTCCAACTGCGGTGCTTAATGGAACGAAACATTCCTGTTCATCCGATTTTTAATATAATTTTATGTTTTTTAATAAAATTTAAATTTTATGTTTAATGAAATTAAGTTTTATGTTTTGAATGCTGCTTAATTATCCTTTTTAAACAATTTCGATATATGTCTGTGATTTAATTCAATTTATGAAAAAAAAGACAGTTTCTTGTTATGATTCAGTCAACTTTCACCGCTTTTCTGAATACGCTTTTCGAGATGGTTAATTTCGTCAAACTTTCCAAGAATGCTAAGATCGGCCGGATAACCGGTTCGAGCACCCCCTTACTGTCGGTGAAAACCAAAAAAAAAGCTGATCCATTAGCCCGAAAGAGCGCAGCAGCCGTTACCAGTTGCTGTCAACTAAACGAATTATTTATAAAGGCTTGCATGATATTGTGATCTGAAAGTTCCGCTTAATGATTAATAAAAATGGCAATAAAAAAAGCGATCGTTTTTATCGCTTTCTAAAATCTTTTCGTTTGGATCAGCTGACGGCTGTCGGACAGTGAAGCCGCTCGGACGACAACAGCGAATAAGGGAATACTCTAACACAGCAATTGGCAAATGGCATATAATTGCACTGAGGTGACGAAGGGGTTTTCTGTAGCAGCACCATATTCTGCTCTGTGCTTCTCCAGTGGCGTCATTTAGCATTTGATCAATAAGAAATCTCTACCAGGGTCTAAAATACTGTAAAATTCTCCGACACTTTTTAATTATATAACTGGTAGACTTCACACACCGGAAAGAACTATGTCCGGCTCGCCCATCAAAATCACTCTCGATCTTTATGATTGCTGGTTATTTTTTGGCAAAATACTGAATTATTCAGCAAAATAAAAAAATGTGAGCCGGATTTTCAAAAAAAAAAAGCCAGAAAAAATTCTTTCATTATTTTCTCGAAGATCATATTGCAGCAAGATGAAAACGAAATTCAAACAATTCATCCAAATCGGGAACAGCTCACGCGGAGGTATGCGCTGATACCTGAACAGGTAAATTCCAACTTCGATTCCATGGATAAAGCTTCGTTTGAATTCAGTTTTATATTGCTATGAAGCCTAATGTTATCAAAATTCTTACCAGGCTAGACGCTTCTTTCTGGAACTCTTATATCCTGAGCTGCAACTTATCAATTTTTTTCTCTCAGCAGTATGGGCTCTAACAAATCTCTGCCTGCGCTAGTGGGGGCAAAGCCACTAAATTATCATTCACTGATATCAAAATTCAGTGGTCGTTAGCGGGGCAAGCAAAACATCATGAAAACCAGACTTTACTTTTTCTAATAGTTCCTAAAATATCCTCCGTTAAAATCATCTGACAGAGAGTCTGAATATCTATAAGGCGCATGGTGACACATCAAGCATTTTCGCTCCAGTGATTTTACAACGGAACATGCGCTGAAACTTCAGCTCTTGTCAGTAGTCATGTTTTGCATTCATATGTCTTTGTTTGGAGAGTGGAAATAAAAAGACATAGTTTTAGTTTTACAAGTTGAAAACATCCGCAAAATGTTCTGAAATTTGCACCAACCCTTCTACATGTTTTTTTTTGAGCTTTGCTGCGAGTTTAAGTTTTGTAATTCTTTCTTGGTCTGAATGAGCAAGTTTATATAAAATTTTTAGCAGGAAAGTTTAGCAGTCTTGAAAGCGATACCTGGAACCTCGCCAAGGCGAAAAACCATGAATTTCTCAGCTCGAACTCGATCCCAAAAATGAGTTTATGTTGCATGTCAGAGCCGGGCCAATTTTTAGCATTGTCTTAAGTTTCCTCCTTCAATGAAGTTCTGGAGTATCACTGAATTTTTAATTTTTTTCATCAAATTTTGATACTGCATCTGCTTTTTTACTTTGCATTTTGACCTTTTTTATATCTTTTTAATCATTTTTTTTTTAAAAATGTTTTGTTTTAGCCAAGCACCCAACAAGATGAGTAAGTTACATTTTGCATGTTCATGTTTTCATAAAGTATTTTCTGGGTATTTTTTTTTTTAAATTCACGATTCACTTTAATTGCAAACATCTTCGCTACAACTCTGGTGACTAATCCCTCTTTCTGGATAAAAGCACATCGATAAATTTTGATCCATAATAGACTGTTTAAGATACCGCATTAACCAATAACAGTTAGACTAATAATGGTTAAAATACACAAGGCATCAAAACTCCTGAAATTAACACCAAGCAAAAAATGGCTTAAAAATATTTGAGTTAGAGGAACATGTGCTTGAGTTAGTTGAATCAGCAAAAATTCATAGTTCGGTTTTCCAACGATATAGCTGACAGCATCACCAGCTTTTTGGCCAGTGCTGCTTCGCTAGGTGATCACGATGTTTCGTCGTGCCACTGACCGCCAGACTGACCGTCAAAAGACTGAGCACCAAAAGAATTCACAAGAGCAACTTTTAAAAAATTTTGAGCACTAAGACAGATTGAAATTTGAAATACAATTTTGAAGTGCGCAAAACTTTTACAGCATGTAATTGTCCGCTCAGTTTTTCGCAACTCTATTTACCTTTTCGTTTTACTGGAGCACTTTTATTAATTTAGGATAAAATATTACCTAAATGATTCTAATTTCTTTGTGTCCACATTTTTATAACTTTTCCTGCGTGTGCATTTTTTTTTTACTTTCTGTTTATTCATTTTTATCGGCTTTTTGCTAGTTCAAATAAATGAATGGATTTTTTAGGTCGGTTCGCGAAGGCTGTTCGGATAATGTAATCATTGTTCCACATTTGAAAATCTTCCCCAACGATTCGCAACTCTTCAATCGGGCTATCAGCTCTGGCGGTGGTCTCTTGGCTGGTTAGTGGTTCTTTTATGCATAAAATATACCTTGTAAGACTGTAGGAAAATTATAAATCCACAGGTGAGTTTGCAGTCTTGCTTCATTTCTCAGCTGTAAACACAAACAGAGCATCTGATGCGAATAGGGGCGAAAATGGTCAGTACAGCCTCCCCAACTCGTGTTTGCGAAAAAGACAGATTAAATAAATGTGATAAGGAAAACAGAAAAGAACCCCACTCTCCCAACCCCTCCCCTCCTCCCGATCTCCAACCAA